GCTGCTGCTGCTGTTGCTGTTGCCTTGCAATCGTAGTGACAGGCGACGTGGGTTCCGGCAATGAAGACGCTGCGATATTGTCTCTGATCGACGACTTTGACGATTTGGCCGACTCCTCTGATTCTCGTCCGTACTCGCCGCTTCCGTCCATCCCGCCCGTACTGTCCATGCCTTTCTCCTTCCCTTTCTCCTTCTTCTTCTTGCTTCCGAATATCTTATCCAACATGCCCCCAGCTTTCTTCTTCTTGTCCCTTTCCCTCCCGCTCTCGTCATCCGTAGTTTCTCTATCCCTCTCCTTACGCAGCTTAGCAGGCGGCCGCGCGCTGGCTGATAAAGCAGGAGCAGCTTTTGCCTTGTCGCTCCCGCTGGTGTTGGCTTTCTTGCGAGAGACATCGTCTAATCCCTCCGCTTCGTCGCGTGGGTGTTTCCGCTCGTCCTGCAGATCGGCAGGCGAGGTCTGTCGCCCGGCGCCATCGGCACGAGCTAGCGGCGGAGTAACAGAGATCTTTCGAGTCTCTGTCACTTGGGCAGGGTCCATCGGCTTCGTGGGTGAATTTGGCAGGATCTCCACCCCTCCCATCTGTTCATGCGAGGCCTGTTTGCGCAGCACTTGAGCTTGCAGCTCCCGCTGTTGCTGGTGTTCTACGCGTTCTCGCTCCCGCTGCTGCTGCTGCTCTTCCTCTTGGCGCTGCTGCGCAGCAAGCTGCTCTTGTTCCTGGCGTAGCCTCTCTGCTTGCGCCAGAGCCTCGGCTTCCGCCGCGAGCTGCTGCCGCGCCTTCGCCTGTACCTCCTCGACGGCACCTTCCTCCCAGCTCATGCCGTCGTCCGGTTCCATGCCCATAGGCGGCCCACCGGTTGCTTGCGTCGCGCGCTCGCGCTCTTCCTGCTCTTCTGCCAACTCTGGGTCCTCATCCTCGTATCCCTCATCGTCCCATTCAATATCTTCTTCCTCCTCTTCGTCTTCGTTCCATACTGCAGGTGGGTATCGATGCACGGAGAAAGCAGCTACAAAGGTCACGCCCTTGGCCTGTTGTGAATGAGCGCGCGCACCGGGAATAGGTGAGGGCGTCCCATGGCCCGCACGCGAGAGGTTTTCGCGCAGGCGGTCGCGCGAGTCTTGCAGCTCTGCATGAGTGGCGGATGCCAGCTGGTAACGTTGGCAATGAGATCTTTCTACGCATCAAAATCAGATGTGAAGGCAGCACTTACATCCACATTGCGGTGCTTGTTCAAGCGCGCGAGACGCTCGAATGGGGTCTCGATATTTTCTGCAGGGATATAGCCCACCTCCTGCGTTTTGAGGACACGTACGAGCCACCAGTAGCTGTTGCTGTCGTCCATTAGAAACAGACTATCACCTTTTACGACATTCGCCTGGCCTTCGACGGTCGCGGCGAAGCTGTGTAGCGCGTACACGAGATCAAAGTCAATACTCTCGTTGGGAATCGAGAGAGACGACGAGACGTCGTCGCCGTCAATATAGTCTGCGTCCTCCATATCCGAGTCGTCCTCGAGGACTGAGTGCTCCTCGTCCGATGGATACGCGTGGTCTGCCATCTGGCTGTTATGGTCGTCTGCGAGTATTTGCTCACGTAGGTCGAAGGTACTGCCAACAGACATATAAAAACAGATTAGTAGTAGTCTTGATTCGCAGTATAATATAGGTCTGTCGTGCTGCCAGGAGAAGGAGAAAGCAAGCTATAGCCTAAGGATGACGAAGGAACGTGTTGAGCGAAGGTGTCGCTGAGAAGAGCGAAGATTGGATTCTGCGTAGCAAGAAACTCCTGATCACTTTACAGGGAAGAATGACCCAGGCGGAAAATGTCGAAGTGTGGGCCTGCTTTGCACCAGGACAGACAAAGAATGCGTAGGCAACTAGAGAGCGCTGATTAGCGCACGCCAATTTCAGTCGGGCTAAGTATTCATTGCATTTGCAACTTGCTGATAAAGACCTAAAATGACATTTCATGGATATTATTGTCCTTAGCTTTCCGTGGCTCTATAGTGTTGTCTGATTGATACTTTAGACTATTTGTATTTCTCTATTGTTCTATCGAAATGTAAGTATATCACGTCTCCTCTCAACTGGGGAATCGCCCAGACGACGACGTCGGCTCGTCGTCGCCCTCCTGAACAATTTTCTTGACCGGAACAAGCCATGCATCCCCATCTTTATCTTCTCCCTCCTCTATGTCAAACGTATATTCTCTCACTTCTACGTTCGCCCATGGCGTGAACGAGTTCTCGCCCTCCGTAATATATCGAAGACAGTCGCCGTGTGCGACAACGACGATCTCGCGCTCTGGGCGTGCTCGAAGCCATTGGCGGTTCCAGCGTGCACGGGCCTGAAGCGACGCAACATCTGCCCCATAAAAGCCGACCTTTGATGTCCAGTCGGGGGTGAGCAGACCGAGGTCAAGCCCAGCGAATTCCGGGTCAGCCTCGAGGACCTCCTTGGGCTGTAACGAATTTTAGATATTGCTGACATTGAGAAGGTGACTAGGAAACACAAACGGAGCCGATATCGCATGGTAGATTGTTGCACTAGTCCCGGTCGATCAGTACATCTTAGTTCGGAAACCAGCGATCTAACCTCCTGCAACTGGGGTAACACTACGACGGCCTTGCCTTGCTCCTCTAGTCGCTTTCTCAAAGTCGCATATCCAATCAAGGTGGTACTCAGTGTGCGCCGGAGCCCGCTGGTAGTAAGTAGCTCTGCCGTCTGCTGAATGGTGTTCACAGTGTCAGCGTGGAGTCTTGCAGCTTGTTCACGGCCAAGCTTCGTGAGCGGGGCATCGGGGACTGGGGATACAACTGTAAGAGTTGAGGATGAATAGTAAGATCACTGGCGCACTTGAATAGTCCTCTTCAACGCTGTGGCCCATTCAATGAGTACGAGAGGTTGGCCAACTAAATATCAGACTGACTTGTGTTCTGCTTGAGCATGACGGGTGAGGTAGATGCGTTTCTCGGTGGCCTTCACCATTGGTATTTGTGTGCTTGGACGTCGGATTAGAATCGATCCTATAGTAGGGAAATTCAAAGTTGACGCAGCTGGGCTCGCAGAAAGTTCTGCGGCGCAGATGCGGATTTAGGGCTCGTCCAGTTGACAATTCCGACTGCCCCGGCCTTGCTGCCCTTGTGGCGTGGAGCAGCGGAGCTACAAAGCGTTTGAAGGTCCGTCGTGCCGAGCATCCGAGCGGCTGTTCTTTTTTTATTATTTTTATTTAATTCCAGGGTTTATACTCCATACCATAGGTTACATGCAGAGTGTAAATAAAATTGAATGCGGGGCAGTAATCACCCTGAAATGTCCCCCTCGCTCGTGGGCGAACAAAGGGGTGATTCGGCGCGGAATGATCCTGCATCAGTTGGGCCATCGTGCTCATTAACGAGATAGTCAGCGAGTTGCATGTCTGTGATAAATGCGGGTGAGGGATACACCAGGGCCTGGTGTTTCCAAGCCTCAATTAATCAAGTCACTGTAGCATCAGCATTGTACTCCTGTACGAAGGATTCATAATCCTTGGTATCAGGGTGAACATCAGAGGGGTTCATCTTGATCCTCTTACAAAACACCAAAAATGCAGATTTCCACATTATGGTGTGGCTGTAAAGGAGAGCATTGGTGATCGAGTAATGATTGTTACAGTGTGAGAGGGGGGTTCTTTTTCTTTTCCTAAGTATTCGTTGTTGACCCTGTAACTGTATGACTGATCCTATCACCTGATGTGTTTCACCTACATCAGTGTTTCAGATCTATCGTGTTTCACCTATATCATGTTTTACTTACATCATGTTTCATCTTTATCATGTTTTATCTTCATCACTGATACAACCCAGTGAAACCTGTTTCATGTACATCACTGATCCAACTCAGTGTTTCATACTTATTAAACTCTATTCCTGCCCTATTTAAGTAGCACTGCTTCGGCTACTGTACTTTAGTTTTGTCCTCTTGTTCCCTACGTACCTTCATAGGG